ACCGTCACATTATAACGCCCCCACGGCTGAAAGGGCGAGTATATTTGGTGTGACGGGGTTATATTTTAAGAGATCAGATCCTTGATTTCCTTTCCACCTTTTTACCTCCACCACCGAAGGTGGATGGAGGTTACGTTTTCACCTCTAAGTGTGTGTTTGTCAGCAAGAGTTTTCGAAAACGGCTGAATGGATTTGGACGAAAGGTGCTTTGGATTTGGACTATGGCCCAACTTAGAAATGATTAGTTTTTGGAGAGTCAAAATCAAAGGTCAAGGTCACGGTAAAGTCAGAAATATTCAAAAAATCCCTATCTGTCAACATGGGGACTGATTTTTCACACTATTTTTGCTTTATAACTCAGTCAAAAATGATTTGCTTTTAATGAAACTTGGTGGATATGTGTAGAATATTATTTCCCTTTGTTCTGCCGAAAATGGTCCGTGTCCATTGATAACGAAGGACATACGGACAAATTTTCGTATTTTTTGAGAGCCGAATGTAATCAACGCTGCGTGGCGGAGGTATACACTGAGTGCCCCTCTAGTTAAGTTTGTTTTGTTTAGATTTCTCACGCAAACCTACACTTATCTGCTCATAGCCGTCACTGATTTTGATCTGATAGATTATAAGGAAAAGGCAGTTTGTCAGCAACACCTACTGTCAGCTTTTGGGCTATTCTCAACTGACTGAATAGTAAGGTTTGACCAATACTCTTATAGTGCACTCACGGCCTAAAAATGCAACCGGACGTAAAGCCTGAACCTTAGGATTCACACCCCAAACACGCTAATCAAATTGTTTAAGTCACTTATTCTCTGTAACGTATCATTACCGATCTATTTAGTTACAGTCTTTACGTTGCTTCAAGCTGTATCTTTGTGGTAACAACAACACCATTTACATATAATGACTGTACTGAACCACTAGTAAGTAAGGCTATATGTGAGAACAGTGGGTTTCTTTATGTTATATTTGGCCCAACTGGTTATTATTTTCATTTACTCAATTGCTTCACCATATGTGATTTCGGTGCTTGTAAGCCAGGTTCGAATCTGTGCTGTACCACAAAATACTCCCCGCACTTTAAGCTGCGGGTTCATTATAAGAGCTATATTCAGCCCATTAGCGTGAGTTGTGGGTGGTAGGATAGTGTTGACTGACAGTCGTCACTCTGACCAACTTTGCTATAAATACAAAATACAGTACTATACGATATAGATACGATAATTGTTATCTATATCGCAATACAGTCTGTCTGATGATAATAGTTACTCTTTAGGACGAAGGTTATGTGTACTTATCAATTCTTTTTTTAAGTTATTGGATTCAGATAAAAGAGGGCATTAATATCTTCGTGTTAGTATCTTTGATCACATGTAACTGGTTAATCTTATCAAACTGGTTATAAGTCACTGAACTGACTCTATGTCTGTTCTGCCTCTTCTACTGACTTTGTAGGGTAAGAAAATTTCTGAGCACATTTTTAGGACTATTTTCTTAAGTGATCAGAAGTTATTCAAGTGATAAAATAGAGTAAAGAAATAATTAAGTAGTCAAAAAAACTGGTAATAATGTTAATAATTAATTTCAGCCTTACAGACTCAAACCATTCTCCTGGATTTTGCTTGTTTGTTTTGTATATTCGCGCAAACTACACAAGGGCTGAATGCCCATAACCGTACCTAGTTTTGAACTGATAGACTAGAGGGAAGGCAGTTAGGCAAGAGCATCCACCGCAAACTTTTGGATCATTCTTGTCTGAGTGAATAGTTTAATAGCATAGGATTTTGCTCTAAAGGCCCTTAAGTGAGAGAAAGGGACGCAAACCATGAACCCTCATATTCTTAGTCCTGTTTACTAAACGCTAGACCACGCGTTGCTATCTTCTTCAGGAAGTAGTAGAAGGTTATTGAACAACTGAAGGACAACTACTCGGGAACGGGAATAATATTTGGCCTTGTAACGAAAGATTATGAAAATACTTTTTCGTTGCTATCTTCCTGTTGTTTATATATACTATGCTACTTATGTCCCAGGGTTACATGTTAATAGTAAAGAGTGTAATACTTTTATTGTCTCTAATACATTTAACACTACAAAAAGATTGAAGAGCGGTGTTAAAGCTGCGAACCAACCAAACAAAACCAGAAAATAACACCAACACATAATTCCAACTTGGTAATACTTTAAATATATATATATTATTTATATCTGGGCCTTATGTACAGCATTAAATATAGGTAACTTTTTTGTAGAAGATTTCGTTTTCTTGTTAATAGGTTATCATTTTAATGCTTAACTGCATATTCATGTTGCTTACTAAACATTCTTTTATTGTAACGTAGTAAGTCAACTAAAAGTGTATATTTCCAAATTCAAGCGTATTTAGTGTATATATATATATAGCTCAAAATCTGAACTATGTACTGTATAGTCTAAACGTTGGACTAGGGTACTACTACCATGCTAACTCCATGATAACATAATTATTCTAACATAGCGAGGTAGTCATTGAAACTTATTACACGAGCATTAATGACGA